TGTTATACCAACCAATTGCTATATGTAGCAAGTAGCCACCCCGGCAACACACACAGGCAAACGAGGTGACCAGGTAATCAGAATGATCAAAAGTAGGATAATTATGATTGTTGTGATGGTGTGAATGGGGTTGGGTAGGGGGGGGGAGGGGGGGGGGGGGGGGGGGGGGCTTATTTCATTTAGCGAAAACAGGAGTAATCGGCTCTTGGCGAAAAGCATCACCGGTAGCAAAAATATCGTAGAATTGAAGAGACAGAGTAGACTTACGTGTTGTACAAGTCACTGTCAACAGTATTTAATTCACATGTGGGAGCCTCCACAGAGAACTAGAGCGTAAAGTTGAAAAGGTTAAGCACATGAAGTTGGAGGTCATGCGGCCGAAGATCAAAGACAATATATGAACTTCCAGCCTCACGCCCTGAATAAGCAATAAACAATAACTGATCAGTCTCATGGGGGAAGAGACTGTTACGGGCCCGCAGTAATTAGCGTCATGCTGTTGGGATGACCCTGCCAATAATTGGCGAATCTAATAAAATAAAATAAAATAGAATTGTTTGTGAAGAATAAGGATGGAGGGGAGGGGGGGTCTTAATAGAGAGGCGGGGGTCCTATTAACTTTCCTCCTCTGAAAAAGGGGGGGGGGGGGCTTATTAGAGAGGGGGGCTTAATAGAGGTTAGCTGAACTTCCACCCTTGCCTCAACAAACGGAACAACCTGGATCCGAGTGTACAGATCGACATGACGTCACTCATGACGCACGTGTCGAAACGCTGTATTCGCATTTCGAACGACGTGCCGAAAAGTGCTTAGGCTAAGGATTTGGGACACTCCGGCAAAAGCCGATTTTCTCGTTGTTTCTGTTAAGCAAGCTAGGCTATCAACGTTTCCTTAACCATGGGATTTCTCAAAGGTGTCTCTTGTAGAGTTTCGTAGTGGTTTTTGCTTAGACCACATCTGGTGGTGTCGGACAAAGCTCGGATGAATAACAGTTTGTTTACAGCCCAGAATCGATGCTTGATTCATCATGGACGAATTTGAAACAATAAATCTGGACAGTAGAGCGTGCAAGATTTGTAAGCAAGAAACTGGAGAAGAATTAATTTCTTGTATTTTACACGATCAGTTTTCTACTGCGGAAAAGAACATCATCTTTCCGACCGACTTTGGCGTTTCTTCAATTGAGGAAGGCGAACCTTCATTTGCTCATCGGGTTTGTTTGGAGAGATGGGACACAGTGATGAAAAATACTTACTTTCCTCAGCCAAAGAAAACTTGGAAAGATCGACTCAAAGGTTTTATAACCACTGGATCTGCAAATAACAATGTTACAGAGACATGGAGCCCAGTTGATTATAATGTTGGGCCAGCTTCGGACCAACCGATATTGGAGTCTACTACAATGCCAGAAAAGGCAAGATCGTCCTATTCTGTTTTTAGCGAGAGCAAAGAAGCTTATCGAGTAGAAAATGTGGGGGAAAGAGACACTGAACGTGGCCACTGGCGAAGAAATAAGATTCGCATCTGTTCTGTTGACTCAGAAGATGAAGTTGAAGAACGTGTTCTGTCGAGCAAAGGAAGTGTTTTTCGTCGCACAAGGACGGAACGTGAGTACATAAGCTTATGTTTTATTTTTATGCGTACTGACGCATTAAAGGCGTGAAATTAGCAACTTTCACCCAATTTGGCGCGACAGTTTGTCTTGAAAGTAGCTACTTGTAGCCAAACTTTAATAAATACAGTATGGTAATAATTTTATAATGATATTTGCTACATTTTGCCAGCACGGCCGTCTTTTTAATTTGTATTCCACTCATCAGAATTCTTTTTGGGTCGTATTCCTCGTTCACCCCAATCGCAACCACATAGTAACTGACACAGCAGCAATGAGGCAAGTGTAACAGAAACATAGCCTTATATGGGCCATAAATGTACTAATTTTTATTGTTATTTGCCATTCCATACTACTTTCAGAAATTTTGCTTATTTACATTGGTGCCATGTCAACTGCCTTAGTAACTTATTAATATCAGCAGATTGGTTTATACTGGCCCTTTCCTGTGAGTGTTTAAACATGTAGATCATGAAAATTCATGACTTCTCCTTGGCCAAACTGATCAACATTTTTTAAGATCTAAAATTTTTCTCTGCCATGGCATTCCCAGATTTGTAAAGTTGATCCTTGTGTTATATGATAACTGTCAATACACTATCACCAACAACAGAATTTTTGAGCTTTTTCACATTGCAGGGAGTAGCATTCCCAGCTAGATCCCCTCCTAGGTGAAAAGGACCTCACAGTCACTTTTGGTACACTGTCCATTCCACCATCAGCATCTCTTTATTGAAAAAAAAACATTGATTGTCCTTTCTTACAGTAAATGCCTACCAAAGTCCCAAGTGGTTTTATTGGTAATGTTGTGTTCATTATTATGCTGGACAGCCACTCTGATAGGTCATTTCCGAGTTCCCTCCGGCCTCAGTATCAAAAAACGAAGTTAAGTGCTCAGCCTTTGATATGGAAATGATTATTCTTTCTCATGCAAATAAAACTCATTTACGCACGAAAGGTTGTGCACTTGGCCTCATTTTCAAAGTGAGGGTTTTTGGAACTCGGAAGTGGCCTATTGGTGTGATTATTATTTTAAGTGATGCTTAAAACATTTTTGTCCTTTCAGTGAATGAGTATGACATTGTTAAGTTGAAGGAGACTGTGGAGAATTTGAAGTTGCAGATAAATGGTTAGTGTCAGGATCTTGTTGGAAAAAATAAGAACGAATAAGAGAGTTTTTATATATTAAAGCTGATATATGTTACTGCACCCTACGATCAGAGCCTCCTTTTTTCTTGTTCTTGATCAGGGAGGAGAAACGGAGGCTCTGGGTGAATCACACCAAGCATTTCAAGTCACCGCAGGCCCTAAACTTCTGGACAAGTCAGTCTTGTTTTCTCTCATCAAACTAGTTTTTTGGATTGCGAGCATCTGTTTGTTGATAAGCTGATGGTCATACCTAAGCCTGCACAGCTATTTGACCTGGGTTTGAAACTGTATTGTAGCAACATGCAGCACAAAGATATCCTATTTGATTCTTGATAAAAGTCCTCTTAGAGTACACCAAAATCTAGCAAGTGAAAGGAAGGTTCTGCAGACATGTTGATTTTTAACACCAGTTGCTTCCATATAAGAAATGGCAAAAGCAAAATGGCAATATTGTATCTCCTGGGGGGGGGGGGACTCCCTTATATAAGCTATCTAGGTATGTGCCGCCCCATTCGGTAGGGTTTTTGCACGAATGTGGTCTGAAAACGGGTATACACTTTGCCCATTTTGGTCTGGAATCAGGTATGGTTTTTGAGGGAACTACGGGAGTGTATGAACGTCTTTCTTGTTTCAATTCCAGATGAGTAAGAAAGAAAGAAAAAATGTGACTTCGAAATGGATTTGAAGAATTTCATAATTTCTGCCTAAAGGCCAGGTCTGAAAACGGGTATGGATTTTAGAGGTCTGGTCTGAAAGTGGGTGTTGAAAACTACATTTTTTGGTCTGAAATCGGGTCAGGATTTGGAGAACCGTGTGGCACACCCCCACCAAGAATTCCCAGGAGTCCCCCCCGGTTGTATCTTAACCCCTTATTTTACTTTGTCTCTTTTATTTTTATTGACAGATGTTTCCTCAGATCTTGTCACCCATCTACAAGTGAGAGATGATCTTCGTTTACAGCAAAATACCATGAAAGTTACTGTGGGCAAACTTGTCCATCTTCAATCCAACATCAAAACATCAAGCGCACAGGATAGACCCAGGTCTACAAACGCTACTAAACTGCACTGTCCAAATAATGTTATTATTACATGATTACAGGTGCACTTTTAGAACCAGTGGTGGATCCAGAGGAGGGGCC